TTAATCGATTTTTATGCTGCATTTTTCATCACAGCTTCTTTTCTTGGACCAACGGATATATTTCTTCACCTCCTATTTAAACACCCTTCCTTGGTCATCTTTAACTACAAGAAACACTCCAATACTTCTCATTCTTGAGGTTAACCTCCATCAATCTTTCCTCAAATTTATATCATTTTAAGAGAAAACTATTTGTTTTTAAGAGAGGTTTCTTGTCATCCATTAGAGCTAAACTTTTTCTCATTCCTACTCTTTGGAGAGCTTTTGTTGAGAGGTTGAAGAAGAGTGTTCTTCTTGGTGTACAAGACTTATGTGACTTAAGTCTTGGGTGTAAAAGTATTGTAGAGGGCATATCTACGAGCGGTTGTGTCGAGGCTTGTGGGATTTAAGTTCTCGAGTTGTAAACGGTTTGTTAAGCACCCGTAAGCTTAACGGAATTAGTGGTAGTTTCGAGAGAGTCTCTCGGGAAACTTGACTAGCCACGAGATGGTGAACCAGTATACATCGATGTGTTCTTTGCCTTCTCTCTTTTATTTCTGCTGCACTTACGTTTATATTATTAATCCTGTGAAAATCGGTAAACATTCTCAAGAACTCTATTCACCCCCTTCTAGAGTTGCACGCATTGTCTAACAGTAGGGATCTGGATCGGGAGGGCCATCCTGGAGGACGTTGATACGCGACACAATGGATGACGTCATCATTTTCGTTTATGAACATTTAATTAATGCATTATTAACTATTTGGATGTTTTTGAATAATTTGTCTAAATTGTTGTGCCGTGAATACCAATTTAGTAACAACCCGATTCGTTAACTCCTTGATTCGGGTTATGCGAATTGGGGCGTTACACCGAATATTCGGATTGTGTGATGGTACAAGATTAGTTGTTGACGAGCTGCGAAAGAATGTTATCGGTGCTATTGTGGTTTTTTGAAATCGAGTGGGGAAAAAGTTTGCATACCCTGGATGAATTTGGTACCATCTCATACAGGACTACCCCTGAAGTTCCCGAGAAGACAATTTTAAATAGCCTTATGTTTTGCTATGACTATCAATAAAAGTCAAGGTCAAACAGTGTCATTTGTTAGATTATTTTTAACCAAGCGGTGTTCACTCATGATCAGCTTTATGTTGCTGTTTCTCGATTGAAGACAAAGACAAGATTAAAAATTTTGGTCCTAGATGAAAATAGAAACTTTTGCAAGCGTACAAAAAAAGTTATATACCCTGAAGTATTTCAAAAAATTGGTAATAAAATAAATTTTGTTGTGTACATAGTCAATTCCCTAAATATTACTCCCTCCGTCCTAAAACTTTCTTCCCGTTGCGCAAAACGAAGAAAAATCCCAAATTTTTTCAATCTATTTTATTTAAATATTGGTATAGAAATAAAAAAATAAAACATACATATTTAAAAACTACATCAAAAGTTCAACAAAACAAGTGGTGACAAGAATATTTTATTTTATCATATAGGCCATGAAAAAACACAAATAAATATAAATTCCCGTGAAGTTGGAATAGTGCTCTGGGAAGAAAGTTTTAGGACGGAGGGAGTATTAGTTTATCCAACTTAGTTTTTTTNCTTCCCGTTGCGCAAAACGAAGAAAAATCCCAAATTTTTTCAATCTATTTTATTTAAATATTGGTATAGAAATAAAAAAATAAAACATACATATTTAAAAACTACATCAAAAGTTCAACAAAACAAGTGGTGACAAGAATATTTTATTTTATCATATAGGCCATGAAAAAACACAAATAAATATAAATTCCCGTGAAGTTGGAATAGTGCTCTGGGAAGAAAGTTTTAGGACGGAGGGAGTATTAGTTTATCCAACTTAGTTTTTTTGTCTATGGTATTAAAAATGAAGTGAGAAGTATATTTTTTGTTCCAGATAAAATATTGCATTGAAAAGTTTAAAAATCTCAAAAGATTTCATTCGATCTCGTGAGAGGGGTTAAAATACTACTCCCTCCGTTCCAAATTATTTGTCACATTTCTATTACCGAAGCAGAATATCAAGTTTTTTCAATTTATTTTATTTACATATTGGTAAAGAAATAAAAAATAAAAAGTACATATCAAAAAACTACATGAAAAATTTTTCGAAATAAGAGGTGTCAAAAATATTTTATTTTATCAAATAACCAATGAAAACGTAGAAATAAATAAAAGTTCTCGCGACTATCAAAAAAATAAATGTGACAAATAATTTGGAACGAAGGGAGTAGTAAATAAAAATTGTGTGAGCAAATAATGTAAACATTGTACATTGAGAGAGAAACTCAGAAATCAGAATCCGAGCCGCAGAACCCTGTCCCTCTTTTCATACGACGGACGCATAAAGTTTTCACTTTTCAAATAGAGACTCCAGACTTGGAGTATATATCACACCATTCACCAACGAACAAGAATCGAGATCCAATCTCGCAGACCCCCCACCATTTTTTTCAGGGAAGTAAGCGCCAGAAACAAAAGATTTCTCTCAAAAAGTCCGAAGAAATTTTCTTAGTTTTCCATGGCTAATGGTTCGAGAAGACACCAATCCACTAAAATTTTCGGCCGCAAGAATCTTCTACTCTTCCTCTGCACTTCCCTCCTCCTCCTTATCTTCCTCTATCTTGCTTCCCAAACCCAAAACCAGTCTCCGAGAACCGCCAAATCTGCCAAAACCCCAATCTTTGAGCGCTCTCTAAAGCCGTTCGATTGCTATTCTTCACCTCAAGCCCACCCTGTCATTGCGAATCTAGTGGAAGGTCTCAAATACCCATTTCTCTTCTCCCTGTCAGACTTCGGGAATTTACCAGAGAAGCCACACAAGAATATAAATAGGACTCTCAAGGGGAAGCCATTCAGAAAGCCTGATATATCTGAGACTGTGCAGAGATTGTTGGAGAAAATGAAGGGGGAGGGCAAGAGTGGGATTTTCGTGGACGTGGGGGCTAATGTAGGAATGGCCACATTTGCAGCGGCGGTTATGGGGTTTAAGGTTCTTGCCTTCGAGCCTGTTTTTGAGAACTTGCAGAGGATCTGTGAAGGGATTTACTTCAACCGAGTTGGGGAGTTGGTGGAAGTCTTTGAAGCCGCAGCTTCTGATCGATTAGGAAACATTACATTTCACAAGGTATTCTCAATGTTCCTTTTGGCATGTTGCAGAACATCATATGTAATTAACATTAGCATTTTGGATAGTGTTTTAACCGCGCAAATTAACTATTAAAACATTAAAGCTAAAGACTAATGCCAAATGGATACTCTATAAAAAGCAGCATTTATGTTGCTTGTGGAGCAACTGGTTAGTTTGTAGTGCTGTGCATTCAGCCCTAAGTTTGTGAAGACTGATTGGAGGAGAAGTTGTGAACCGGAGGATGTTTTAAGGAAAACTAGACTAGTCAATTATGAGGGGTTAATCATTAATGTGGTTAAAACCTAGTATCACTCTGAGGTATTTTAAGTAACAGTCAAGAGAAGCTTTGCCTTATATGAAGTTAGGCATTCAATAAATTGAATCCTTGTGGTAGTGGTTATGATTGCTAATGAATTTATTTTCGCTCATCTGGAGTATTGGTGTATAGCAGTTCTTTACATACAGGCTTACAGCAATGGTAGAAACATTTGAGAACCGCTTTTAAACAACATAAAACGAAAAATCCCGATAAGCCCTTGGAGCCGAGATACATTCACCTTGTTGCTCTCTAAACCCATTTCATTTTAAAACCCAAATGTAATGCCTTATATAGCCCTTCCCCTTCCCATGTATTTATTAGATTTAATCATGAAACTATTTCACTTGAAGGTTTAGTTATTCAGTTATAAATCAGTCTATTCGGCAAATCATAACTCTTTGTGCCTTTTACCATTGTTTTTGTGCTCCTTAATTCGATTTATGCCTAGACTTCAGTCCTCCATTTGGACACAGCCTTACATTTTTTTTACAATATTGCTGTCTAGATTTGTCTAGAATTTAGATACATTTAGCAATTTGACATCTCTAGACCATTGCCAATGGAGCTAAAACCGTCGTATTTGACAATGTTTTAGCTTTGGGTGAATAATGGACTAAATCAAAATAACACACTAAACACTAAACATTTGTTGTTGTTGACGTCAGACCTTACAGAAAACATTTACTATTTTTAAGTATTTAGAACTGTACTAGTTACTTTATATGGCGCTTTTAGCATTTCAATTACTCTCTGATTTATAACATTGATGATGGGTGATTCGACTCATTACACCGATGATTTTCAACAGTTGGTTGGCCGGCTTGATAATAGTGCGGTCTCAGCCACTGGTGCAAAGTTGGCATTCAAGTCAAACGAAGAGATTGCAGTTGAAGTGAAGACCGTTCCTCTTGATGATATGATTATGGAGTCGGAGTTGGTGCTGCTTCTCAAAATAGATGTTCAGGGGTGGGAGTATCATGTTCTCAAGGGTGCTTCAAATTTACTCTCAAGAAAGAAAGGTGAGGCCCCATACCTTATCTATGAGGAAGATGAACGCCTGTTGCAAGCAAGCAATACTAGTGCCAAGGAGATTAAAGATTTTCTTCGCACTGTGGGATACCACCATTGCATCAAGCACGGAACCGATGCCCACTGCACAAAAACAGATTGATGCAACGGATTCCGTTCTATATATTTCTTTCCATTAGAAATTTTGATGTAGCCAAACAACAGTTTCATGGTGAGATGTGGTTAGAAGAACGATCAGAGGAGCTGGTGATTTCGCAAACACTGCAGGTGTTTTGTTAATACTGATTTTGACACCAAGAGAATTGCTTTGAATCCGAGCAGGGACATAACTACTTCACGCCACAGCTTTGTGATGACCTTGAATTGATTTAAAAAGAAAAAGGACATAAAAATTAGATTAATAGAATTGCCTTTGAGCTTTATGATCTTGGAGTGTGAGCATGTGCACTATTCCTTATTTCACATTAAATATCAAGCAGTGGATTCTTATATTAAATTGAGTGCTTCACAGGGATGATATGATTGAGTTTTCTTTATGCATTAGTTTTTGTAACTCACCAGCTAGTGAAATTGAAATTTGCTAACAGCATTTTCATGGGTATATCGGTGAGCATCCCATTTGATATTAAATGGATCTGATTTGAGCTCTATAATTTGTAGGCAATAAATACTCAATACACACTTATTTGAGCTCTATAAATGGTTCTATCTCTATAATTGAACTCAATACACAGTTAATTGACCATGTTTCACAGGGAAACAGAAATGCCAATAAGTTGCACATTATGAAATGGAATTCTTTGACTGCAAAGCTTGTTGGCAGAAGAGTAGAACAATAAGGTATGAAAAGAAATGATTTCTCCAAGCATATGAATGTGATCTTTGCACATCTTCAGGGCTATTGAGGACTGCTCGTTTCCGACGAGCCGCATCTTTCAACCATAGCATCATACAATTGCTTCCCATTCTATTGTGAATTTAAAAAAGGTGATTATATAGTCTAGTCCACAATCAAGGTGCTGACAGTTGGCCTTCAGGCACTTGTAATAGAACAGGATAGCCTTCTGACTATAACACTTACAAATATTACAGGGAAAAAGTGCACTTGGCCTTCGGGCTTCGTCTGTGTCTCTTTGAAATAAACTAAAATGGGGAAGTTTGGCCACCACATCTCCCAGTTCACAAACGTCAAGTATCTGTTTAAAAAGACTAATTTTTAGTTCTTGGCATCAAAATCTATAAAAATGTCACTGCAGTTGTACTTACTTCCACCGGTTTTTTCCACTAACAAACACATTTTTGCCAGACTCCTCTAGCCGCGCCCCTACTTTAACCTCCTGAGACCATATATTGTATAGTAAGTACACTGGTGAACGATATAGCATCAATGCAATAGTTTACATAATATTAACTTCAGGTTGAGTTTTAGCAAATTTTAGGGCGTGTTTGGTTGGAGGGAAGGGAAATGATGTCCTCCTCTCATTTTGTTCAAAACATTTTGTCGGTGGGGGAGCCAATAAAAAATGGGGGTAGGCAAATGTGTAGAACCTCAGGCGTTACCAACTCTTCTAAACGCTATTCACCCTCCTCTAATAGAATTGCCAACGCATACTCTTACAAAATGTTGGGACTTTATTCTTACAAAACGCTACTCTTGCCAACGCATACTCTTACAAAACGCTATTCACCCTTCTCTAACGAAAACACTATTCACCCTCCTCTAGCGTTGGGACTTTATTCTAACAAAATGTTTTGGCTCCACTACTCAAAGAATGTATTGAACCAACTGAGGGAGGGACTGTCCCTCTCTCCTCTCCTACAGTCCTACCAAACACAACCTTAGTTTGTGTTTCTCAAGTGACTTCAGTGTTAAAGAGTTAAGGAGACACACCAGAGCCTCATCGTCAAAGACAAATCTCACTCTTGTAGTCTGCAGATAGAAAAACCACTTTCATCTTTTCTGAAGGAAAGGTAAGTACAAATAGGAACATGGCTAATGTCCCAAGAAACTAAGTCAACCTTCAGCCTCTGCAATTTCTAACCATTTCATAATACAAGACTTTGGTTACCTGGAATAACAAGAGTAACCCGAGAAGACCGGTAGGAGCTGCTGCTAGTAGATTATCTGTATAAATCAGAACACCAGCCGTGCCTGCTCAGATTTAAAATGAGGAAAAATCAGGTGAACATCATATTGTCATAATGGGTCTAACACATTGAGACATGATTTTTGCAACAATATCAAAAGAAAAAAAGGAAACTCAAAAAATTTCTATCCTCTTGGGATTATTTTAGCCTTTGAATACAAATGAACTGTCTTCAATGCAAACCTAGAAGCACAATGGGGATACGATAATCCGGGTCGGGAACAATGGTCTCTCTCTTTGTTTTCCTTCTGAACTGCCAAAAGGGAAGGGCCTGGATTGCATACCAAACAGGCGACATAATTAAATCAAACTACAAGAAGAGCTAAAACGAACAGAGTAATAAGAAGTAAAAATAGTACGTAATAATTATCTAAAAAGAAAATGTACCATCGAATTGACTGCAAGAGGGCTTCTTTTGCCAGCTGAGCTTACATTTTTCCTCACAATCATACCATTGTATGTACCTTTGCTACAATATAATGAGCTCTGACATTTCATTGAAACTGCAAGAACATCTTTGGCTGCTTATTAAGAAAAGTACTAAAATCAATTCCCATTTTTTAAAATTTAAAAAGGTGCAATCTTTGGTGTTCTTTTGAACTCAGTTTCGACTCCAAAACTGGGACATAAGTATTTTTCAAGAAACCCATGAAATATCCAGTCTTGAATAGTGATCCGATATTTCATGGGTTTCTTGAAAAATACTTATGTCCCAGTAGAAAGATTGAAGTGGAAATGCTTACGCCGTAGACGTAAAGGTAGAATTGGTGAGGCCGATAGAAGAGCACTCTCCATTTGCTTCTGCAGATGGAATGACTGGATGGCCTCGCTTCTCTACCCTCTCCCGGAATGGTCTATCATCTTTGAATGGATTTGACGGTCTTTAATCAAAATAAAGGTGATAAGAGTTTATTAAAATAAGAGTTAACACTGTTATTATTAAACTGTTATACTCATTACTTTGTCACATTGTAAATGTCACATTATCACCATCACAGTGTCATCCTTTGCCGTCGCGGATCGCCGATGGTTGACGGATCACATTGTCATCACTTTTCATCACATTGCCAATGCACTCTTACACTACATTGTCAGTGTAGCAATTATTTTGGTCTTAAAAGACACGGGACTCCTATTTTGGCATTTTCATAGTTTTTTATTCCTATCCAAAAAGATTTTTTTATCAAATGTTATTCTTGTGATCCTTCTTTTATGAATACCTTTCCACACATAGTCCTTGTTTTAACTTTATGTAATGTTCGTGTTAATTTGAAGGCTAAAAATGTAATTTGACATTAACATTATGTCTAGTGAGCTATTATGATGTCGGATAAATGGGAAACACAGCAATAATGATTATGAATGTGGATTAGGATTCCAACAAAAAACCACATCTATAGATTATTGTTGTAGTAAGAAAGCAACTAGAATTCACAAACGACGCATCAAGAGCGGCTTTTGGAATTGTTTATGACAAGAAAGATATATGATCATTGTAAAATTACACTTTTAGCCCTCAAATTAACACCAACATGATCGAAGATTAACAAAAGACTATTTGTAGAAAGATACTTCTAAAATACTCCCTCGCAGGATTTTGAAAGAAGGGTCTCGTGATAAGGTTGAAGTGCCCTTAAATATAAATAAACACAAAAAAGTACCGGATATACTATTTTATTTTATAAGAACAGTGGTGAACAAAACAACTTGAAAACTACATCAAAAATTTATACATACAAAATAAAAAAATAAAGATATGGTTATAAATTTATTTTATCTAACTTTTTTCTTGGGATTTTTTTTCGTTTTGCGCAACGGGAAGAAAGTTTTAGGACGAAGGGAGTAAGTAAAAGAAGAACTATCAAGATAATATTTGATAATAGATGGCTAAATATGGAAACCATCATGTCATAAAGGATCAATCATGGAATTTATTCTAAATTAAAAGTAACGGATTTGACGCCTTCACTGTCATAGAAGTAAAAAATACTACTCCATCCGTCCCTAAAAAATTTCCATAGTTTGACTTTTTTGGTCAAACTGTACGTGACACCCTTTAACCACGAATTAAATATAGTTTAAAATGATTAAATATTATAAAATTGATATTTCAAAACTAAATTTTTAAATAAACCCAATTTTACTAAATTTTAAAATAAATCTAATTTTACTAAATTCAAATTATAACTAAATATACTTTTTTCATAATTCATGGTCATTGGTCAAAAGGTGTCACTGATTAACCAAAAAAGTTAAATTATGATATTTTTTAGGGACAAAGGGAGTATGAACAAAAATGTAGATGAAAAGTATTGAAATTTTAAATGTGGGGTTAAAATTTGTTTATATGAAAGAAAAGTAATGTGAGCCATATATTCATTAACGTAAATGAATTTTTTTTAGAACATTCACAAAAAGAAAGTGTAAAAAATATTATGAGACGCAATGTGTATTTAGGTATTTATTGGAATATTAGATCAATAATTTTGCTAATTGAATATGGAAGTGCATGGTAACATATATATATATATATATATATATATATATATATATATATATATATATATATATTGCATATAATATTTCATATATAAATCATATTTCCCCACCCCCTGAATGTATGCACATATCTCCCCCTAAAGACATGCATATGAAAGCCCTTCTCTCCCTTTTGGCAACATTAAAAAGGCATGATAGTAAGGCAAAGCAAAAACATGCATTCAAGGCATTTCAAAAGAACAACCATAATACAATGTCAAGTCATCCATAAAAATAAAAGTGAAATGTCATAGGCATAACCAAACATCCAAACATTTTAAAGTAAGGAATAAGAAGTTTAAGTAATACAAAAGAAGTTTTAAATGTTTGATCAAATCTTGCCTAGTAGCCCAACACTTAATGACGCCTTTTTGGTCGGTCTTCACTCCCCTTGGGACGTTCTTCAAGCTTCCCCATGTGTTCTTCAAAAGAGCTCAACCAAGAAGTGACATTCTCGTGGAATTGGCGTTGAGGCTCGACAACCTTCTTCATTATGAAGTTCTTGAACTTTTTGTAGACTTTTTGAATGGAGGACGTCTTGGGGTGCTTTGGGACTAGTGGAGAAGGCATTGAAGTTACGACGGATTTGGAGCGACGTAAGTGACGGGTCTTGGGAGCCGGAGCAACATTGTCTTCTTCTTGTTCTTGTTCGTCCGTGCTAGGAAGCTCGTGAAGAACGAATAGAAGACATAGAACTCCGTGGGGCATGTGCAACTCGAACGCCTTCGGGAAGATCTTGAAACTCTCTTTTCATGTAAAAAGTCTCATCAATGTTGACAAGACCACAGTGAGTAAAGCACTCCATGTCAAAGTAGCGTGCTCGACAATGAGTGACTTCAAGAATGTCGTTAGCGGCGAAGATGTCGGTGAGGATCACCCCATATGGCTTGTTGAGCTTGGTTTTGCTCTCAGTCATATGATGAAGCATAAGATGAGGGAGGCTAATATATTTGTGGGTGAGAAGGTGGTAGAGAAGAGTACATTCATAAACACCAACCAACTTGTCCTCTTTAAGGACGGGAATGAGGTTCTCCTTGATGATTTTGAGGAGAATAAACCGATTAGCCGAGAGACCTTGAACTTCGGGGCGATGAATAAATTTATCATAGACTTGGTTTAACGGAATGTCATTAAGAATACGAAGACACAAGTCACTAGAGAAGGATTGAGACTCGGTCATCCATCCCTTCTTGCAATAGGTATTTAGACCTTCAAGAGGGACATGGAAGAGGTCGCCAAGGATGGTGGGATTGAGTCCAATGACTTTCCCGGCTACCTCGGCGGTGACGGAAGTGTCTTCCCTATGAAATATCAACGAGTCATAAAACTCGTGAACAAGGTCAGGATATACGGAGGCTTGTAGGCGAAGGATAGACGGTGGCTTGCTCTAGAATGAGCTCAAGAACTTCGTCGGGAAGGTCCCGGTCTTTGAGGACTCGACCCTCGATGAAGTTAGGGGCGACATTGATGATTTCACTCATGATTATGTAAAGAGTAGTGAAATTGATGAAGGAATTGAAGATAGATTAAGAAATTGAGGAAATTGATCTAAGAATTGAAGAAAGATGGAGAAGGAATTAGAAGATTACCTCTGTTCGCCGCCGTCTGGAACGAAGAAACGCAGACCCGGTAGAAGTGCGAATGATAGATTAGGGTTAGAAAGAAGGATTTTAATCCCGTCTGCGCGGTCGGTACCTAGGTACCAGGCACACAGTATCTGGGTATTGTTTCAACGACAGGACCTATTGTACGGGTTCTTTGGGAAGCCTTCAAGTTGGTTTGGATACCCGAGTTTCTGCCGGTAACCTTCTCACGGTATCCTGATACCGTGTGACACGGTAGCCGCTACCGTGTAAGCAGTATGCGCTACCAGTACAGGTACCCTGCGGTTGTTTCTTTTCTTGTTCCGTCCTTTTTGGCGACCTAGTTGAGCATTTTGCTTGATCAATTTTTATGCTCCCTTCGTCCCAAAAAGTCCGACACATTTCGAAAAAACTGTGTCCCGTAAAGTCCGTTACATTTCTATTAAAAAACCACTTTTACCCCTTACTTTTTCATACTCTACCTATCACATCATACCTTTTTCCTAATAATCTACCCATCACATCCTACTTTTACCCATCACATCAAGAATATTTTGGAAAGTCAACACAGGAATATCCCTCCCTTAATTTCCCAAAAAGTCAATATGTACCAGTCTTTTTGGGACGGAGGGAGTATATGTTTAGTGTGGGTTATAAGAACCTTAAAATCATTATAATTCAAGCATTCCCATTTCCGGACAAATGTGTAAAAATTGTTTTTCACCTAAAGGTTTTGTAAAAATGTCGGCACGTTGTTCAAGCATATTGACATACTCAATTTGAATATCACCTTTTGCAACATGATCTCGAATAAAATAATGTCTTATTTCTATATGTTTAGTCCTAGAATGCAACATGGGATTTTTAGAAATATTTATAGCACTAGAATTGTCACAAAAGATCGATACTTTAGAAAATTTTAGGCTAAAGTCACCAAGTGTTTGCATCATCCATAAAATTTGAGCAACACAACTACTCATAGCCACATATTCTGCTTCGGCGATGCATAGGGCAATGGAATGTTGTTTCTTAGATGACAAAGACACTAGTGCATGATCTATAAATTGACATGTGCCACTCTTGCTTTTCCGATCAATGCGACACCCTCCAAAGTCCGCAACACTAAAATCTATCACTAGTGCATGACCATAAACCCATATTGGTTGTTCCCTTAACATATCGAATTATCCGCTTGACGGTGTTAAGATGTGATTCTTTGGATGATGATTGGAAACGTGCACAAAGGCAAACAGAAAACATTATATCGGGTCTAGATGCAGTAAAGTAAAGTAAACTACCAATCATACCTCGATATAGCTTTTCACTTCTGGGTTTTCGGCTTTCATCGCTATCAAGCTTCAAAGACGTGCTCATTGGAGTTGAGTATGTTTTTGAGTCTTCAAGGTTGAAGTTCTTGACTAGTTCTTTGGCGTACTTGGTTTGACTAATGAAAATTCCATCTTCAAGTTTCTTGATTTGAAGTCCAAGAAAGAAATTCAAGTCACCCATCATGCTCATTTCGAATTCGCTTGTCATAATTCTTGAAAATTCAATGCATAAGAATTCATTAGTTGACCAAAAAATGATATCGTCAACATAAATTTACACAATGATAAGATCTTTTCCTTTGTTTTGATAAAAAATGTGGAATCAATGTTTCCTTTTGCAAATCCATGTGAGATGAGATGTTCGGTAAGCCGCTCATACCAAGCTTTAAGAGCTTGTTTGAGTCCATAAAGGCCTTATGAAGTTTAAAAACATGATTTGAAAAATCAGGATTTTCAAAACCAGGAGGTTGTTTAATGTAAACTTCTTCTTTCAACCACCCATTTAGAAAAGCATTTTTTACATCCATTTGAAAAAGCTTGAAGTTAAGAGCACTTGGAAAAGCTTATAATATACAAATAGATTCAAGCCTAGCAACTAGAGTAAAAGTTTTATCATAGTCAATTCCTTCAACTTGGCTATAGCCTTAAGCAACAAGTTGACTTTTATTGGTGATAATAACACCATTTTCATCGAGCTTGTTTCTAAAAACCCATTTAATGCCCACAACGGGTCGATTTTTTGGTCTTTCGACTAGTTCCCAAACCTTGTTGCATTCAAATTGCTCTAGCTCTAGTTGCATAGATATAATCCAATAACAACAACAACAACCCAGTTAAATCCCACAAGAGTAGGGTCTGGGGAGGGTGTGTGTACGCAGACCTTGCCCCTACTCGAAAGTAGAGAGGCTGTTTCAATTCCAAAGAGACCCCCGGCTCAACGTCGAAAGTTGCATTGCTTGACTAACGGCTACTTCATTAATTAAAGAAGCGCAGACAGTTTAGAGATCCATTTTGATTTATTCCATCACACCCCAAAGCCAAAAAATGATGAGATTTTGGCTCCATCGGAGATGATGGAACAATAGATATAATCCAATAACTATCTTTTAATGCATCTTCTATGTTCCTAGGTTCAAATTGACTAACGAACGCATAATATGCACAAAGATTGTGATTGTTCCTACTTCTAACTCCTTTTTCAATATCTCCAATTATATTGTCTCTTGTATGGTTCTTCAAGTGCTTATATGCCTTCAGAAGTTCCTTTTCCTCATTTTCTTCTTCTTGAGAGGGAATTTGCAGAGATTCTTCATCTTCTTCTTCTTCATTTGAACCTGAAATTACCTTACTTGACCCAAAGGTCTCGGTTTCATCAAAACTTACATGCATAGATTCTTCTACTTTATGATTTGATTGATTATATACCCTATAAGCTCTACTATTTGTTGAATATCCAAATAAAATTCCTTCATTTGATTTAGGTTCAAATTTGTCTAAATGATCCTTGATATTCAAAATATAGCATTTACAGCCAAAAACTTTGAAATAGGCAATGCTTGGTTTTCTACCTTTCCAAAGTCCATAAGGGGTCTTTTTAATGATAGGCCGAAGTAATACCCGGTTTCGAACATAGCATTTATGCCGTGTTGACTGCTTCTCCCCAAAAATATTGAGGTAAGTTGTGCTCATTTAGCATGATCCTTGACATCTCTTGCAACGTCCTATTCTTCCTATCAATGACTCCATTTTGTTGAGGTGTCCTTGGAGCCGAAAAATTGTGAGAAATGTTAGTTCCATATTGTGTTGGCATTATTTTTTGACAAACGAATAGATTTATCTAGAATTCTTTTAGATGTTTTATTTAGACTTAGAGTCGTATCATGTGAAGGAAGAGAAAGAGGAAAGAGCTTGAAGAGAGAATTCTAATCCTACTTGAATTATAATCCTACATGGTTTACTATTCTTGAGGAGGAAGGCATGGTTGAGACTCCTAAGCACACTCTAACAAGGTTAATATCCTCTATATATTATCTTCTCCCTCCCTTAGAGTTGGGTTGTGGAAAAATACGAAACTATTGAAGCAAATCCGAAAATAGGAAGAACAAGGTGCAGAGTTTGATAGGGCAAATATTCTGGACAGCCTGCACGGTTTTGATCATCGCCGGAGATCCGACCGTTGGATTTTTCTGAACTTTTCAGAGGGTGTTCCCAACACATAGGGCTTCAACATATTAAAAGTTCACGTCAATCGGAGTTACGGATCTTCTGTTATCGAAGTTACAATATGCACATTGCCGCTGATTTTTTGCACAGAACGCAGCTCTGGTTTTGTCGATGATCGAAGTACCAAATCTTGTCTGATTGTGCTGAAATTTTAGGAGTCTAAGGACTCGTGGAGCTTCAATATGAATGGTGGAGATTGAATTTCAACGGTTCAATCTCGATTTATGAGCTTCAGAACAGCCTGCATATTTTCGTAGATCAGGGAGAATCTTTATTTGAAGGTGTATTGGAATCTACGTCCTTGAAGAAGATCTTTGAGAAGGTGTAACAAGCCGTGGAGATAGACGCAAACCGAGTTTGTCGTCAAGTCATTCGTAAGTAGACAAATCAATACATTAGAAGGTTCTATTGTGATTGATTGTGTAATTCTTACGGTGAGTTAGTGGAAGGGCTATTACACGGACGTGGGTCTTGCAGGCGTAGGAGAATTTGCTCCGAACTGCGTGAACAATTCTGGTGTCTTGCTTGCTGTTTTTACTTTATATTCTACGTGTGTGCTTGTGACAGAAAAGGTGTTATAGCACTCTTTCAGTCATCTGTTACTGTGACAGTGCTGCAACATCTTCTCTACAACATAGTTGATTGTTTTGTTTGCATAGCTTGTGTTTGGTGTTATCCGCTGTGCCCCTACGAACTTACAATTGGTATCGGAGCCTGGCAAGCTTAAGTTATTAGCTTGATTGATCTATCACCATGGGAGATATTCAAGAAGGTGCTAATGTTTTTAGACCTCCACTATTATGCGGCCATGATTATACTTTTTGGAAGTGTCGAATGAGAGCCTTTCTCAAGTCTCTTGGTGGACAGGTTTGGAGAAGCATAGAGGTTGGATGGTCAGCTCCTACTATGACAAATGAAGATGGAGAACTAATTCAGAAACCTTACGAGAAAAATCATCTACTGTGACAAATGTAAATCTAGCTCCACCCAAGCTTTGAACGTTTACGGGCCCAAATAAATCCATATGTAATAGTTCAAGGTTCCTTGACGATAAAACCATTTAAATGGGCTTAAATGAAACTTTGTGTGATTTCCCGAGGGAGTATGCATCACAAAAACGAGAAGGGGGTATGCTCATTTTCGATAGCCCAACAACAAGTTTTTTTTAATAAAATTTTTTCAAAAGGTCATAGCTAGCATGTCCTAATCTACGATGCCATAAAGTTGAAAATTCAAGTAAAGTATTAAGACAAGTGATTTTTAAGTTGCTCAAGTCATTGGAAATAGACTTGTACAAGCTTCTATCTCTTTAGCCTCGAAAATGATTTCATCTTCTCTTTAGAGACTTAGTTTGTTTACAATGAGAGAAGTTAAAAAATATGGACTAAAAAATTATTAACTCACATCTAATTATGTTATTCATTGTATAAATTCTCGTCTTAGAAAGCTCATTATATATTTAAACACCCCATTTTTTGTATTATCACCTTATACTTAGTAGTATACATTTTAAAACTTCATTTTTGGTATTCACATTATGCTCATGGTTCATCAATAATTATTTCAACACTTTTAAACCTTCACAAAACAAATACATACACACTACTTCATTGTTGAAATTAGAAAAAGATATTGTAAAATTTGAAACTACACTATGCTCATTTAAATACATTATTCACTCTAATACTCGAATTTTATCTTCTTAGTATACATGGGTATAAAATTCAAACCAAAAACTTATCATGCTGACATGGTTGTTGGGTATGAATGACATTTGATATCAAAATTCATACAAGTGAAAATCATGTCATTCATTAGATTACCTTATTATAAATTTGGAATGTATCAACCATGTCGATCAACTTTAAATGTCGTATGTACCTTTATGTTATTCCCAACATTTGTTGGAATTATTGTCAACTAAACTTTGATCGGGCACTACATCCGCGCAACGCACGTAAAAATGCTAGTGTGTGTGTGTGTGTGTGTGTGTGTGTGTGTGTATATATATACGGTCCGTTCGTAAAATTGACGGTTCCTACCCCCCTAACCCACCCCCTAAACCCCCC